AGACCAATCCGCGTCTGGGTTCGTGAGCGTCATGACGGTTCAAAGAAGACCGCGAATGGCGTTTGGACGGCTTGTTGAGGAACGATCTAGTAGTTCGAGCTAAACACCCAGTCCGACGCCATAACTGTAATGATTGCGATCTGTAGGTAGGGTCAATCATCGTACTATAGGTATGTGGATAACATGTCTTACAAGCGACAAGTCTACTCCTGGTAGAACGGTCACATCCAGAACGGGTCGATAGCCCTTCTTCGAACTCGGCAGCAAGGCCAATTTCTCATTGTGAGGTATACTTTCGCGAATCTCGGCGACCTTCCTGTCCCCATCCACAACATCGAATGAAGCTAGAGCGTTCCCATACTTTTCAACCTCTAACGTGAGTATTTTTTCCTCCTCCTTTTTCGACTCAACGGCTGCCCTATTCTGGAAAGTAATCTTGAAGTCACCGACAGACCATCCTGCGCTGGCTGTGGCTATATTTGCATGCTTGCTTCCTGGTAGCGTGACAGACCATGTATTCTTGAGCGACATCTTCCTATGCAGCTCGAACAGAGGCAGTCCAGAAGCATCCCAGAATTCGCGACAGGCGCGAACACTGAATTTACGACCCGTCGCAGTGAACAAGGTCACCCCATCGCTATCCTCAATCTTATACGCTCTTGAAGACTGCCTGTCACCTTGCGGTCTCACAACCAAAAGTGTCCTTGAATCTGTGACATATTCGGTCCGTACAGCTATCGGACGGCCCGGTGCTTTTAATACTCTGCGAAAAGAGGTTTGCGAGGACGAAGAGGAGGAATAGGAAGATGATCTAAACATTGCGACGTGTGTTGGAGCTGGTTTGGTGAGCTGCGGGGAAGCGCTCACTTACTTATATTCCGTCATAGCATCAGGGCTGGGATTGGTCGGAGTGCACGGATAATCGTCGTTAGCATGGATTCTTCCATGTCCATTGCACAGCCCCGCGATCAAGCCTCAGCTTTAAGACGAGTCAGCTTAGGACTCGTGTAGAAAAATATCTATCTCACTTCATGATCCTTCAGGATGGTGATAACTTGGGGTAGCACAAAAGAGTCATTTAGTTATATGGTTTTTGCTTAACTATGAATCGACGAAGGATCAGCACTTTTATGCATGCATCTTGTTCCAAGAGGGGGGGGGAATTATGAATCATGTGATCTTCACTATCCCGAAGGTATCATTGATACTTACATGCATTATTCTTGATTATATAAATGAGTACTCCGTACTTACTTGCTAACAGGCAATGCACGATTATTGTCTTTCACATGGCGAGCTCTCTTATCTTTCTTATTGATTGGGTTGTATAGGCTGAGCTTTCAGCCTTTCAAGGTTGGGCAGGCACCAAATATGATAATTACCAACACACTGAGTCACTGACACCCTCCCCGTAATCTTTTATCATCCTACTCGGTATTGTAACTTACACCTTAATAACTGTAACAGGTGCAGCACACAACAGTTGTACTCTAACAATACGTATTACACTCAAGTAGGCAACTGCTGGCAAGGTAAGGTAGTATTGAACTAGTATCATCGGTTTAGATAGAATCTTCTCTGACTTCTGTGGGGTTTCCAAAACAGTCTAAGGTAAGGCAAGCCGGTAATATTGATCGGTTACCAATCTACTGGTGAGACATGGAAGTCAGACGGATGATAAACAAACAAATGACCATATCTCTGGATTATAACTGGTTGCCGGAATACATATTACGATACCGTACCATTGTCTTTGTTTAACATGCCCGGATCACCGGCAATGTCCGCCCTTACCGCCTCAAAATTCCATTAGTAAGGGAGTCCTCAGTGTTACCCTATTTCCATCAGGTTAGTGGGCTGCTGACGGTACAGTCTATTCCTAAAAACAAATCCCAGCCCAAGCCTAATAAGGCAAGCGTGGCGTATTACATTGAATTACGGCCCAAGGAAACGCAGCCACCACCTTTCTTATCTTCACAAAACGTCCCACTGGACTCGGTACCCAGAGAAGATCACCTTCCTCGCCCCCATCTGACGTCTATTAGGGTATTATTATTATTACACTCTTATGGTGCTGCAGTCCTTTCCATCCGCTTCATTTCCCTCTTTCTCCTTTCATCCCTCTACTTGCTCCCTGTCTGGTTTGGACACTGTATACACTTTTAGACACTTGCATCTGTCCTACCTGTCAGGTTTACCTTGTCGCGTGCCTGCATACGCATACGGCCGCTATCCCGCAACCGGTCTCCAGTTCAGCGTGCCTTAAATTGTTATCGCAAATCATCTGCCAACACACCGACCCTACCGACACGTATATCATCGAATAATTATACTCCCTGGGGGGAGTCCCTGCAATCCCATCTCGTTTTCCTCCTTGTCTTCCTTCACCATCCATGTATCTCGCTCAGACTCTCGATCAAAGTGCCTCGTCAGGGCTATATCACCTTATCAACGGACTGTGCCTTGATAACAAACCATAAAGATGATGGTCCCCAGGGCTTTTCTTTTTAGCTCCGTGTCTTCCCCAAAACCGTTCAGGCAAGATGAGAAGGATATGCAGCCAACCTCCACCTCTACCTCCACCATGACCTTTTTCACGACGCAGGACGTCGTCTCCGGCCTCGAGTTCCCCAGCGACCCGAACTCTCATGCTACGAGCCCAGTAGTGATCCCTCCGAAACGGGGACCTCGTGTTACATCAAGGCTTGAGAACAACACAGCGCATGGTTCAAAGACCCTTCGCAATAAAACAATATCTGCCCGGCCATCTTCGCCCGCTTTGCGCGATCGCCATGTACCTACATCCATTGCGTCCATCCTAGAAGCCACCGCGATTCCAGTTCCCAGACGCACCTGGAGCGTGCGAGAGTCACGGAAACTACCGTGCGGAGATCATGTGCAGGAGTTTAGTAGGTTGCTGATGGAAGGGGTCAAATCAAGAGATGATCATCTACTAGAAGGGACTGGTAACACTGCGCTTGACATTTTGCTTAGCCCTCCAGATGAGAGCGAAAAGTCGGTGGTTGGCAGCGATTACGAGCCTGAGACACCGTCATTTTCTGGACGATCTATGTCGCTCGAATCGATGCCGTCCTTAGATCACGATCTGGATTCTCCATCTAGCCTTCCTGTGCCGCCTACCCCAGCAAGCCAGCGAAGCCCTTCAGAGAAAAGATACCGCCGCCCACCACATCCAGAAGATTGTGCTCTTGACCATCCTCTGCTGGAAAGGGATCTGTCGGAATCATATTGGAGCCCGACTGATTCACAGCCCTTGTTTACTGATGCAAATCCTTCCAAATCCCCTGGCCCATCTCGGTCGTTCCCTCGATTAGGCTCCTCTTTCAAATCGAATCTGACAGCTTCTTTACGAGCAATCAAGTCCGCTGCTCAAACCGTTTCGACCTTTGCTTCTCCATCGGTACAACCAGAGGATTTTCTGACGCGGTCTTTGTTCAATATCACTCCGGAGATGACGGATGACCGACGGCCTCCGCCCATGAACGAGCCGCCATCGCCCGCCCTAAGGCGGTATCTGAACCCGATTCAGGTCTCACCCTCCGAAATGTATGCTTACCAAGACTATCCACATGAAACCCTGGATTCTCGGAACTGCCCAGTGTCGATCCAAATGCAGACATATCACCGTTCAGGGGGCCGTGGAGGTCGCAAGGGCAGGTTTCGTCTCGCCGGCTGCGCAAGCCGAGATCGACAATTACTGCCATTCGATCCAGAGCATCCGGCCTTCTCACGTCCCCGAGAACCGCGGGAGAACAGTGATTTTCTGCGCATGGTGGTTCTCGAAATGAACATGAGACGTAGCGGAAAGCTTCGGGACGACATCCCTACCCGGGCGCGGATCTGGTTACCACCACGGAAAAGCATCCAGCATCGGTTCACAGTCTACGACTTCGATGAGCACGACCATGAAGACACTGAGCATGTAATCCCTCCACGATGGATCGGAATTTCTGCCTGATACATCCATCTATCTCCTTCTACCTCTGCTTACACAACTGTTGAACCGCTATCTTTTTCCTCATTTTTTCCCCAACGATCTCAGTATTTATTTTGGGTTCATCCCAGGTTTCAATTTCTCACATTCTGTACATATTCAGAGGCCTTCTTGGTTGGAAGCATAGAGAGCACGGCGCTTGGTTGGACTGGAGTCATCATATACAGTGGTTTGAACAATCACTTGTCACCATTACATGTCTCATATGGGCAGAAGGATCGGTTCCCTTTCTAGCCTGGTACATATAGCGAAGCGAAATGGAATTTTCTTTCTTGTTTCATGGAGTGTGAAACCCACCTTAGCCCATGTTGAACCCTCAAGAAACTTGGAATCATGAACGGAAGCAAACTCAGCAAGGCAGCCGAGTAGGGAAGCGTGAAAGAATAGCGACATGTGAAAGCGGGATCTGGTATCACATACCATCAGCGTCGCTGTCTTCTCGTTCTTGCTGCACTAATAATCTTGGTGAACATTGCTTTACAAAGCATGGAATATACTGCACGTTCCTGGTCCAAGGAATTAGTAATGCCCTAATCGGTATAGGGGTAGGGTAGCCTGAGCACCGTCCACAATGTCTGGTTGCCCAGTTGCACGGAGTACTATATGCAAGCCTTATCTCTATCCAATCGTATCAAGCAGTTTACTTGGATGTTCACACGACGGTGCAGGGATCCACTATCTACTCCATGGTAAAGCAAGAATTGAAAACTCCGTAGTTTGTTGTGCTAAAATATTGTTTTTTGATCCCGTGTGGGGAAGCAATGACTATCCCGCCAAAATCAACAAGTAGCATGGGGTATCTTCTTCCTTGGGCAGCAGTGCAGCTGCTAGACTACTACTGCGCCTGTGTCTCCTTCATCATTATATGCCGTTATATGAGTCATGGACAAAGTCAATTTTCATTGCAGGGCAAAACCTAGGATTCGGTGACCCGGATTCATATCTCGGTACATCCTGGCCCGGATGTTTAAGCGATGCCAGATATTCATCGTTTGGGCTGGAATCCTGCGCAACTCAATTAGATGCTAGTCATCAGGAAAGTTACATCGTATGACTTACTCTCCTCATCCAATAGCGTTCGACTCTTCCAGCTCTCTTCTACCCAGTCAACAGTGACTATATGTGGTAACTTCTTCCCAGGCTTCCTGGACCACTCCCCTCGTAGCGAAGATATTTCTTTTGACGAGCTTTCTGGATCGACAACGACATGGGTGATCGAGGGATGGCTTGAGGTCTTAGCTATATTCGCGCCTGCAAACCTCGCTACATTGATAGCATAACGCAAGCGGCTGTGAGCATCCGACGGAATCATACTTTCGGACTCCGACACATCCTCATTTCTATGTGGGAAGAGTATTGTAAGACTCTTGAAGAGCAACCCGCATGGCATTTCGTGTCCAGAATTGACTCTTTCTTGGATGTGTTCAATGAGTTTCGTGACGGACTCTGGACACTGGGAAATGTCCAAACGATTCTTCTTCGTCATTTGTTTCAGAACCTTAACGAGATCAGCCTGCTTCAATGAAACATTATGCGGAAAGCGTACATCACTGAGCTCCTCGCTGGTAGTGTTACGAGCGTAACTATCGCCAAATTGGTCTACATTGGATGCCACTTCGTCGTGCTTGCCCGGCGTGGCGAAGAACATGTGCCTAGAGCAAGTTAAGCACAGATCCGTCCAGTCCAGTCCGCGATAGATGTCGAACATACCTAGGCTCAAAAGGGAGCAGTAAGTCGGGTAGCCCTGCGTCAATCTCATTTTGCTTCACACAATCAAAAATCCAGGACGGCCGGATTATATCCACATCGCCTCTCTTCTGTAACGAGGCAGCTTTTACCGTTCCTAGCAGATAGGTCAGCTAAAAGAGACCTCATCATTAGGCTGGGAGAGCACTACTTCTGTCCGCCACACAGATTGTATGAGGAGCTGCATTGTTAGTTTGGAAGAAAATGCCACCGTTAGCTTTGACAAGCTGCTCTAGCTCAGGCTTTGTTTTCTTGACGGGCGCACTCGAATCTGTCAGAATATCTGCCTCACATGATTAGTACACCATCAATGGCAGGCCCGGCTGCCCGATGCAAAGCTCACAAAAGTTCAATCCGTCAAATATATGCCCAGATGGACCAGCATACTTGACATCTTCGTCCATGTCGTATCCAGCAACCGTGAGAGGCTTCTTCGCTGTCCTCTTTACGCGTTTCCTACGGGAATTGTCCACGTTCAGTTCCTTTTCCCGGTGCTCCTGCTCAGCGTTCGACTTGAGATCCAGGAATTCCTGCACAGACAGAGCACTTCTCCAATCTTTGTCCATGCGCAGCCTTTTGAAACGTGGAAACCGCAAAGTCAGCCCAATCCGAAACTGGTCACTAGCTGATACAGAGGCTGCTTTGACACAGATGACCACTGAGTCTTCCGGCTTGATCCACATGTCCGGTCGCTCATATTGAGCATCTCGACCTGCCAATTCGATATACGCCGTTGGAGGTTTCTTTGGGTTCCACTCCATCCATTTACCATCGGTGTGATGACGGATATTTGCATAATCAGCGGCATTAAAGCCACCTCCAACTTTGCAGAAGGAGTAGCACTTTGACGCGCTCGCACCCTGAGAGGCATGAGCATCGTCAACTCTTAGCCCGCAGAGAAAACTTGAAAGGTTGCCGCCTCGACGACCGGAGCCATAGTACCCACCGATGACGATGAGATCTAGAGACTCTCCGAACTCGGTCATGTACTCAGGCTTCACCTTCATCCAGTCATCGTGTCTCTCGTTCAGACGGTAAGGCGACCGAGGGTTCTTGAGCACCAAACCCTCAGAAGCTTCAGCTACCACCTTTCTGAGCGCAGCTTCGACCTCATCTTTAGTTGTAGCTTCTTCGTAGGGATGTATCTCGAATCTGCGATGGACAGGGCGGACAGCCTTCTGCAAAGCATTGCGACGATCACGAAGTGTGTAGCCAGTTAAGTCTCGCCCATTAAGATACAGTATGTCAAATACACGCAGCAGCGGCCGAGCGCCTGTCGTGGAGAACGGATTCCTCTGTTCGGACAATGCAGCAGTCTTGAGTGTGCCGAAAGGTGCGGGAGCGTCTTGCTCGGGGTCCCATGTGATCATTTCACCATCCAGAATCAGGCTCTGGACCCCATCTGCAAAAGCATCCTTGAGATGCCTCGTCAAAGACCCATTTTCATCATGAATACCATTGCCGTACAAATATGTATATTCTTTCGCTTTTCTTGACCAGAAACGGAATCGTCTGCCGCCAGGTACTGAATCGTCAGAATCCATATGAAGCTGCATGCGCTCGCCATCCAGCTTCTCCTCTATCCAGAAGACAGGATCCTCCTCCGTCGGTCTCATTCGAGCGACCATGCGGTCCAACGAATCCATTTGGAACTGAGCCAGCTGCGGCTGGAAGCATTGCATCAGGCTGATTCCTCTGTCCTCAGCGTCCAGCCGAATATTCGGATCGTGCAGCTCCCAGCAGACACGCCGGAGACTGCTCGAAATACTGTACAGATTCTCCGCGTCCGGATGCCAGACATCAAAGAAGGTCCGCTCCGTCGCTCCCACCTTCATCTGCCGGAGGATGATACGAATCAACCACATGAGTTCCTCGGGATTCATGCGCCGGTAAAACTCCGCAAGGATCGGCAGCTGCTGCTCCTCCTTGGACGCCGCCGATAACTTGTCCAGCTTCTCGTTAACCTCCTCAATCAACATGTCTCCCACGTCAGTCCGCATTGGTCGCTTCGAGATGACATCGAAACATCGCCCCGCAAAGTCGCCCGCCATCCTGGACGTAGCTGCTTGTCCAGGCAGCTTCCAGTTCAGCAGGTTTAAGCCATCCTCGGAGTTCTTGTCAATTTTCATAATTTTGACAAGCATTTTGCCGATAGCCTTCTCCTTGATTCCGTACATGGCCCGGTCCCGATCCTTGTCCGGAAGAATTAGTCGAAAGGCGGGGTATATATCATCGCCCACTTCCTTCCTCCACCGCGAGATAAACCGCTCAATCACATCGCGTCGTCTCTCCAGCGGATTGAGATTGGCCGCTGATTGCCCATGGGGACCGACTTTCCTGCGAGCCGCAACCGCTCCGGCTGGCTTCTTTTTTATTTCGCCCAGAGGGTTGAAGAGGGTCTGGAAAAGCTCATGAAAAGGTAGGGTTGGGGAATGATTACGGGGCCGGTTGGGATATCTATAAGCATAACGTCAATGACTTTGTCTCTCAGCACTGAGCAGGATTAATAGATGAAAGCAGGGTGCGGGTAAGCCTCACTTTTCGTCAATGTCAGACTCCTCATCTCCGACAGGAACATTTGGATGCTCCTCATCAGGAATGATCTCGTCGGAGTCCATTATGTATCAAATTCCATTCGCAAGCCAGGAGTAAAGTATATTCGAAGTGAGTCCCAGTCCACCATACATGTTGTCGACTAATATATGGTGAGCCAAGAAGTGTGTTGATCCGATTAGGCTACAACGGGCCCCGATAAGATAGCTATAGCGACACATGTGACATTACATCACCTGCGTTTACTCTCCAGAATAGTGGCATAATTTACTCCGTAGATACTATTGTATTCGGACAAAACCTATAGTTATCAGACATCATATACATTATTGACCCTGTAAAAAATATGGCCAACTCCCAATCGTCCCTCAAATCGAAATGCTAGCTTCGTGGTGTATGTCATAATATCAGTTTCTAGGAGCCTGTGGCTGCGAGGACAGCTCCGCGAGCTTCGTAAGGATGGCAATAAATCTCTTGCTAATTCCCCATGAAGTAAGCCCGGCAAGGGTCTCGCAGCCAACGTTCAAAATGCGCTCAGGACCATGAGGAGCACATATGTCCCCGACGCCTGTGACGTTTCCTTGCATAACATGACCCTCGCGGACAAAGAGCTGGACTAGCTCGTCATCACATGGCCGGTCTAGGTGGATGAAAGTTGGCTCGCGGACTGGATGATGTCGTGGTCCATATCTTGAGCTGGGATCTTTGGCTATTTGGACATGACATGAGCCATACGCCCATAGAGTGAGTATTGAAAGATATACAGCGACCGGCTCGTGGAACGCATTCGTCGAATACCGTCTTACGTGCCACAAGGTTGTGCCTGCATGTATAATCGCAAGACGAGCCTTGTACTGGTCGTGTTTGATCCAGCGTAATATGTAATGCCACTCAAGGGCTTGCTGATGATCGCTCCAGCGAATCTTGCCCATTGCTAACGAGGTCGCCAGAGAACGAATTTCGCGGAATGGGGCGAGGAGGACAATTCGGGCAGCATGGAGATGTAGTACGGTAGGATGCTCAAGTCCTGCTGCTTTGGCGATCGTGCTGTTCGCCGTCCAATGCAAAATATCCAAGCAATCGCACGCGCTGTTGCGCCATTTCGAGTACGAAGGGATGCCTGGTAGCCAGACAGACCCCGACGGGATAGCGGTATCAAGGGACTGCTTCTTTGCGGTGGGATTCCAGAAGGATAAGGGACGGCGAAAATAGTCACCGACCTCCCACATTCGATGGTAGAGAGCGTGAATGAGTAGGACGTGACTGAATTCTCCGATCTCTGGGACGAGCTTCTTCTCGATATAAATTGTGAGCACTGCGTTGTAAAGAGAGATACCTCGCAAATCTGAAACCGATGTCTTAGTTGAGAATTTTCGCTTGCCTTGTCCAAACTTACCGGAAGTTCTCTCGAGAACATCCCGCCAGGCTTCGGCCGAGTGAGCTTCCCAGAGATTCTCATGAGACGGTAATGGGCACTGCCCGTCGTCCAACGACAGCAAAGGCCGGTTATCAAAGTAGTACGCGAGGGAACAATCAAGGAGCTAGCGCTTGAATGTCAGATCGGGATATGACGGAGCATAGTCCATGTTAAGTTTTTCAAAGGAGCATACCCATATCAGATACCCGGTCCGTCGTCGTATTTCATCTTCAACCCAGTCATGCCACTTTTGTTCTAGCGGAAGATCACCATACTGAGCTGTTGGCTTGTTGACGGCGCAGAGCAATCCCTCTCGAATGGTGAAATTGACAAGATCGCCGAAGGCATTGAGTGTGGACACTTTGCTTTGCTCGTTACCGCTACTGTGGAGCAATCCGATGCAGTTGAGCGTCATAGCCTGAATCAGCCACAGCGGTGTTCGTTCTGAACGACATTTCTCTTTCTGGGCCGCCATACTCGGTTAGCGATGAATAGCCCGCAATCGAAAATCAACTGTCTTACCTCAATATTGATAGCCCGCCGAAGGAATTCATCAAACGCCGTAGTGAATTCATCCAGAGGGGTGAGACCAGAGAAACGACAGCCGACTGCTGATATAGCCAGTGTCACGAGCCAATGACAGCTGTTTGGGTTGAATGTAGGGGGATGGAACAAGGGATACACGGGCTGAAATGAGTCGTAGTAAAGGTATACATAGCTTGAAAGAGCATCGGCGCTCGGAAAGTTACCAGTCTCGAATTTGGGATAGAGAGGGTTGTCCGTGCGGCATAACCGAAGGAATGAGTGGTAGATTTTATCATATGTCGGAGCTTCGATCCGACAATTAGAGGCCGCTTCCTCACCCGGAAGGAAGTCTGGCCTGATGTCCTGAATCAGTGGGAATGAGAATTGATGTAGCGTATCATGCTGATGCATCGGTGCCAGGATCTCAATAGGTTCTGCAGATAACCTTGACCACGAAGTTCTGCTCCGTCTATACTTTGGCAGTCGAGCTCCAGCGCCGTCCACGTAGAAATCTCCCGACCGCTTGGTTGCGTTTGAGGGCTCCGAATGTAATGAACCTTCCCCAATGCTGCGAGAAAATCGGTCGGGACTCCCCGCATCTGTGCCCACAGACATGTGCCCGGAAGGGGTATGAGAGTGATTTTCCCGCACAGAGGGACTCATTTGCCGCAAGTTGGTGACAGGAGGTAGCCATGCTGTTCGGCTCACCGGCTCGTCCAGGATACCCAGCTGGTCAGAGAGCGGAGGCATCCTGGAGAGTGACTGATCGCTCGTTGTATCGGGGAACATATCATTAGGCAACCAATTCAAGGTTGAAAGCATTGATTGATCTAAAAATGGCGGGTCAAACCCGAGCTGCATTTGCTGGCCTCCAACTCCCGCCAATTCCAGATTGAGATTGGGCGTGGCTGCTACTGTTTGCTGGATGTCTCTGGATCGATGGTCAAGTTGCGAGGTCGATTCTTGTGAAAATGTCTGAGCGCCACCTGCTGGCAATTGCGAATAAAAATGCTGCGAGCTCAAGCCAGCATATTCAGGCAACGATACACGTGCGTCGTGCGTAGAACCACCCGCATCCGACAAAAGCATTCGAGAGTTCAAGTCAGCCGTTTCGTCTTCCGGTGGGCCATTCTGATGCTCTGACGATTCTCCGCCAGGAGGCCCGTGCGGTTTCTCCGCAGGCATATCCTTCGATGGTGTATCCAGACAATGGGAGCCGGGGAGATCCAGCTGAAATTCGGTAATCTGAAATCTCGGAGGCTCATTTCTTGATTGCTCTCTGATATCCGCTCCGTGGACATCATCACCTGCTGTTGAAGAGGGGGACTCATGCTGAGTAGCCTGTCCACAAATCGTACTGTTTCCATCAGAAGACAGGTTCTGGGCCACTTCCTTCCGCGTTTTGGCTTTGGAGCGTCGTTCCGTCGGATACTGGCATTCCAGAGACCTATTCTCACACCGTACGCATGGGGAACCACCACTGCACCTTACTCTGGCTACTGCGCATTTGTAACAGGCTCTGAACGTCTTGACCGTAATGCGATGCATACGATCCTTTCCCCCTTCGGGTCCCAAGGTATGATGACTTAGTTCATGACGATGGAGCGTGTCACTTGCAACAACAGTCAGTTTTGGAATACCATTGTTATTCGACCTGGTGAACACTCTGATACCGAGGCCGCAACTGCCACAGTGGTACCACGAGAGGGGAAGGGGGAAAAGTAAAAAGAAGAGAGGGCGATGACATACGTTCTTGAGAAATGACGTCCACACTGCGCACATTCGAAAGGTTTCTCCTTAGTGTGGCTTCGGAAGTGCCGCTTCAGATGCTCGGGTCTTCGAAAAGTACTATGGCAAATCGAGCACTTGGTCTGACCAGGGGCGGAGCCAAGCCGAACTTCGCGAGCACGATTGATGCTTGTTTCGTCTGCTCCTGTTTCGGCCTCACGGCGGTTCGCAAGTTCTACCATGTCGTGGGTTAATCCTTGACCGGTCTACCATCTATTTGGCGTTTCTGCCGCAGAAATAACAAAGAACAAGTGCGTACCTTGGCCAGCGTCGCTCTTTTCTGGGGTCATTGCGCCTCATGGACGATTTATTGAGTTGAGAATTAGTAGGATTTGGCATTGCAGCTGCGCGCATGGAGATCACAGGAGTCCTTCAAGAAAAGGGATAAGCTTCACAAAAGTTCTGAAAGCGCCAACATTTTCATCAACATTGTAAGTGGTGAGCAAGAGCTCTTTGGGTCCAACAGCTGTTATTGACGGTGGTGGAGCAAGAAGGTAAATTGCGGAGGCCGCCTGCCCTCAGACTGAGGAGGCGGGAGTAGCTTAGCTTCGAAAGGCGAACGGATCGTAGAAGCTGAGTGAAGCGAAAAGCTAGAGAGCGGGGAAGATCTCAGGATAAACTCAAGACTGACTCGGGCACGAGAGAGAAATGAGAACCGTGATTCCTTCACATCGTCCCATACGAACGAACCCCAGGTCGAATTCCCCGCACTTTCAGTTAGTCTCTCCGTCTCTCGGTTAATTAAACGGATGAATACTGGGAAGGCTAAAAGAAACCGATCTCAAAGTCCCAAGCTTTATAAAAAGGGGCATTTCAGATTGACGGCCATTAGATCCAGAGGGAGTACCGAAAACGTTGATTTACCTAGGTATATGCCAAAGGTTAAACAAGCATGCGTGTTACAACAAGAGTGCTGCGTATGGGGAGAGCATCAGCACCATGTGTTATGGAGAAGTTCTCCGGAACAATTATCGGGTACAGGCTGTCGAGTGGATATTCTGTTATTATTTTATGCAATGCTGTGAGCCAACATCCCTTTTTGGAAGCATTCTATATTAGAGCTTAGAAATGATATCATTAGCCAACACATGTCACAATCACCAGGAAAAATCACCAGAGGTCGACTGCTGTTGTGGATAGATATCCCTTGACTTGCTGTCTACGATGCTTAGCTAAAATGCTAAATACCACCAACCATTTTTATGCCGAGGCTGAAGCAAAGGTCGAACTGAAGTATTCCCCACATAGCATGGCCATATCCAAGTACTTCGCTTCTTCAATTCCCAGAAGCAGTACCCTTTTACTTTATGGCTGGAGTGGCATTTCGAAAAAGTCAGTCCGTTTGATACTGGATGTGTTTTGCCATGTATGGCGGAATCTGACGCACGGGCTCTGTGGAACTCTTAGGTCTGCAGTCCGCACTCAGCTTCCCCCGATCAACAAATGTAAATAAATCTCCATCTGACGCCATGATTTATTGATTTGGCCCCTACAATTTGTTCGACTCGAGGTGGACAATATACGAGGTATCTTTTCAGAGCCTAGTCAATGGAAACCGGAACCTTTTAGGCCATTATCCCTAGAGCAGGAAAGGCGAAGCAGGTCTTGTGCATGGAGAGTCCGACTTCCCATTCGGGCCGTGGTCATGTCAGCGAAACCGTAACGCACTGCAAGAAGCTACTGCTGCTTTCGTTGCAAGCTCTCCTCAGACAGCTTTGCAGAGAATGGACGACAAATCCAGGGGAACCACTGATGCACAACATCATGCTACGGATGCGGATCGTCCACCAGATGACGGATCCGCAGGACTCCCCGAGCCTGGATCCGTCAAAAGCAAAATTGGACTGTTCACCGCACAGAGTACGCAAAAGGCATTGGAGGGGGAGCGTGATAAATCTGCGACTTTCAGGCCGCGGCCTCCGCAGCAGGCTGCTGCACAACTCGCTATGCAGAAACCGCCGGTGCCAGTGAACAAACCTGTAACGTTGGGAAGAATGAATTCAACGCCGGAACTGAGGCAAACGGAGCCTCAGGGAAGCGACGATAGAGCAGAGCCTGATCTTCCAATGCCGAAGCCTGTTCGCAACATGACGGCAGACGCCGACACAGTTGAAAAACTCCTTCAAGACAACAGGGAACTACCGGTCAGAAACCCACCAATTCTCCATCGAAACCCCGCAATGCAGCCAGCTACCTCACCCAGATCCCCAGATATCGCTTCAGTGTCTGCTACAAAACCCCGTCCACCTCCGCCTCGGAAAGGAGGTGCAAAACCGGTCCCGAAAAGCCCTAGTCGCAGTGAACCGAAGATTCATGGAGGACAACAGAGCTACGAACCGCTTTCAAATTCTGACATGGATCTTACCGGTGCTGACGAGGCCAGACCTAAGCTCCCCCGGCGGCCAGACGCTTCACCAGTGACACACATTCCCCCAAGTGATCATCGCGTTCTGCTGGAAGCGCACGAACGTAGCAAGCGTCATTTGGCTCCTAGTTCTCCATTGTTGGACAGGTCGTTGCAAAACAACGGTAGTAGCCCTGACCTCATCGACTACTCCCCTGGTCTAGACGAGGAAGCAATGTCGGATGCGATAGTTGCATCATCACTGGCCTCAAGAAAAGCGCCATCCGCAAAAAAATTCCCTCCACCCCCTCCACCACAACGGCAACGCGGGACCCATTCGCTCCTGCGCCCAAACACGTCCAACAGCGACTCTCCACGCAGCTCCAGTCCCGCGTCAAGCCTGCGGCACACTCTCCGGCCGCCGACTAAGATTGGTGAAGAAGAATTCGACCATCACAAGCACAGAAAGCACATTATACACAGACACCCACACAAACATCACGAGGGCGATCGAAAACGATGGCAAAGCGAGGTAACCGAGAAGGAGAGGAAGAGGTACGAGGGCGTTTGGGCTGCAAACAAGGGACTGCTGATACCTATCAGTAATTCGAAGGAACGATCTTCACATGAGGAAACTTCCAGCGAATGTTATCCTCCAAGTGCATCTGAGATGGTCCTGAACATTGTTGTTCGCGACATATGGGCCCGAAGCCGCTTGCCGTCAAGCATTCTGGAGCAGATCTGGAATCTTGTTGATCGGCAGAAGATTGGACTATTGACGAGAGAAGAGTTTGTCGTCGGCATGTGGTTGATAGACCAACAGCTCAAAGGCCACAAGCTTCCAGTGAAGGTGCCGGACAGTGTCTGGGACAGCGTGAGAGGCGTGCCCGGAATCAGAATACCCAAGGTCCCTTCCCGATAATGCAGGAGATCCATACACCCACACATCGACGCCAAACCGGCATTGCTAGAGACAGTGGTCAAGGCTGCTGGGCTGTCCGCCAGCTTCATGTATATGCTCAAGCAGCTCCGGAAACTCGGGTATCGACTCCTGCATACAACCAAGTATTTGGAATATGCCATCCTTGCATCCACACTGAGGTCCACTTAAAACGGACTATCTACAGCACCACGCAGAAATCATGAAGACGTTACGTTGTGACCAAGGCTATTAGTTTTTATGTGATTACTGTCTTGTCACAGAGTCATACCATACGACATTAAAAACATGTATATACCGGGAGTTCCTACACTTGTAACAGCTACAATTCTCAGTTTCCGCTAGCCCAGGAGTGCAGATCTGCATCACCCCCATTGAGATCTTTTCCATGAATAATCTGTCGCGTTGCAAGGTTCGTAAAAGGCTTAAAGCCTTGGGGATAAAGCCGACTGTCACATGACTAATACACTGGTGATGCTCCAATCAGAAAGCCGGCGATTGTTCTCAACGCCTTTACTCCATCATAGTTCTTACGCAACTTTCTTGATTATCATAACCGTCTCTGGAGAATAGGGAACCTGATGAGTCTCTTCCTTATCCAGGGCGCCCTATCATCTTTTGTCTCACGAGTTAATGCGAGGTAAATCCTGCGCCACCTTTCCCTTTCCTGAACCAAATCAAATCCCGAACCGTGTGGTGTTCGGGATTTGGATCGTTGGTTACTGATGATTAAGCCACGGCGCGACACCCCGGCTTTTGGCAGTAACTATATCAGACCACATCTCTGGGATCCGATTGACCAGCACCAGAGGGAAAAAAGTTCCGTGATCGTACGGCCCCTGTGCCCAGTAGTTATGCGCGAAGGTGACCCTTTCGAGGCGGTGGGTGTGATATAGACCGCTTTCATTAAGCCCGCACGAGACTACGACCAAACCCCGTTGAATGAAAGGGATTCAAAACACAAAATTGAAGTGATTTGATTGATCGGGATTTCGAGATGGTGCTGGAGAACCTCCCAGGCCCTTTTAATACCGGAATCGCCCCAGTTACACAGTCCAAGACTTCGCGGCCCACAGTGGTTCGGAAGAAGTTTGCCAAACCGCCAGTCAAAGTAGCTTGTCTGACATGGTAAGCCGTCTTGATCCTTCATGTTTACTGATCCATGTGACCCTCGTCGTTAATTCCTTCGACTACTTGGATTTCTCTACCCCTTGTCTCTCTGTCGCTGGTTGTTGCCTTTGATGCTGACTCTGATGCGACAGTCGTGCATCGAGGACGCGCTGCGATGGTCAAGAACCATGCTCCAACGTATGTTCACTTACTCTATACTGACTCTCCTATGTTTGTCTCTACATATGCTGAGACAAGGTCTTTCACTTGAAAGTGTCTTAGCAAGAAGAAGAAATGCTCGTACCTGCCTAGTAGGAGAGGCGGTCCAAGGAAGAAGAAAAAGAGCTCGTCTCCTTCGGATTCAAGAACTCGGCAGGATGACTTCCAAAACTCTACTATCACGCCAGCATCTGGCTTTGACGACTGTACGTGAGGCGACCCTTGTCTGTAATTGCAGCACTAACCTTCAAGCAGCCTCGGCGATGTTTGGGCAGATTGATGTACTGTCCTTGCCAGGAGCTGGGCTGAGAGCGTTAGATTACTCATCGGATATGAATACCATGTTTGCTGATCTCTTCCCTTCGAACAATGGCAGCAACACTCAGGGTCAGATGGAGCCGACACGTTCGCCTTCAAACATACCATCCCAGCCTATGGTCAGGACATATGGCAGCGAACAGGATATGTAAGGCTTCACTTATGACTAGTGGCAGCCAGAAGGCTTGCTGAACGCTGTTTTGAATATAGATTGAATGCATACTACGACTTCATTCACCATTATTTTCCCATACTCCCACCACGAGTCGCTCCGCGCTGTCCAGATAGGCCAATCAATTCCGCTGGTCACTATTCGTCGTCTCCTTCTGGAGAGCCTTTACTGGCATACAAACCGCAATCCCCCCTCAGTCTTGCAATTTCCGCTATATTGGCTCTGGTGCCCCATCCCGACGATCCTGAGCCGTTGTCTCCGGTTGCTGTTATACGACGTAGAACTTATGCTCATACCTTTGCGCAACTAGCTAATGCTGGTGTTGAGGAAGATTGCGAATTACAAGCTTCTTCGACGGACCCGTCCCAAGCATTAGCGAACAATCGACCCAGGATCAACCGGGAGCCCTTGCATCCACGGACACCTGTGGAACTCGAAAGCCTTCTTGCGTTGCTGATCCTCTGTGTATATGAATATACACAGCGAGGAAATCTGCTCAAAATGAGGTATCGGGCTGGCCAAGCCTTGGCAATCGCGCTGGACATGTCTCTTCAGTCGCTCGGGGAGGAGCATGATGAGTGTGCAGAGGCTCGGCGGAGGGCCTGGTGGATGACGGTACGGTCGTTGATTAAGTATCATCGCGGCGCGTCCACTAATTATCTGCTGTCTAGTACTATTGTATGCTTCAGGGTTCGATTGTCAGCACAACGGTAAGCTAGCGTTGATTCCAACCCGGTTTGCGAGACTCTTGAGTTTCATAAGTAGCTGATCTTGTACCTACAGCCGCTCTCCATAATCGCCAGCGACCCTCAATTCGTTACACCTTATCCTCGTTTCTCTGCAGATCCAGAGGCAAGTCTTCCACTCCCCCCTCAGCGCTTCCAGGGTGATCTTCAAGCAAACCACACCACAAGCAAATAGCACCATTCTGACCGGTTTTTCAGGGATGGGCCGTTTTGATGCAAGCCCAGCAAGTGCTGGCGTCCGCAACTCAATTCGTCATCGACTTGAACAAATGCATGTCAACTGGCGCCAACATGACTTACATATATGAAAGAATGCAGCAACTCGATGCCTGGGCTAGCTCCGCAATAGCACAATCCAATCTCCTTCCAATGGTCCCTCAATCCATGGGTTGCGGTGACGAAGTGGAGTATACAACCGCCCATAGCATACGCGCTATCGCGCGAATCAAGCTTTCTAGGTAAGTGGTCTTTGATGAAGCTCGAGAGCCTATTCACAAAGATACTTATGCGAAATTAGTGCACAAATTAAGGTACACCGATTCAGGGCGTTCTCGGATATTCCACTCTTCATTAAGAAGCATTGCGACCTGACCGCAGCTAATCCCAACAACACGATAACGGGCGATTCGGCGTCCAAGGTGTCCAAAGAACAGGACGGTATGGCGAACATCTCGTTTTGCTGCAGCAACATGGACTCCTTCCGTCCGCCGCCATCTACATCGAGTGATTGCACAGGTTCCGCCTCTTCCTCCGGCTCTGCCACATCCGATTACCATTCCATGATACCATTCTCATTTACCAGCGGTTTCCCATACAGCAGCCAGCACTCTGCCAAAGTCTGCTTGAAAGCGTCTCTTACGATCTCACGCATGTTCCCGAGCCTGCCCCTGCCACAGCCGCTCTACGCGTCGAGTGGCAGTAACACGCCCAACCAGGGGCCGCCCTCATCGCCGCAAAAGCAGCTACCGCGAACAATGCCATCGTTCGCATGCTGTCTGATGCAAGGAAGCTACGCCTTGTTGATGATATTCTACAAAGCGACAGTGGAGAAACAAATGTCGCCAGATTACGGGAGTGAATCCACAAACAGCGCCTCGGATCGACTGATCGAGGAAATTCGTCAAGGCTTGGAGCGTGTCATTGAAACCGTTAAAAATTATGCGATTGCTTTTGAGGCGTTGGATGGCATGAGAGGTAGGCAGCTGCTTCGACGATGTCCCGAAGACAGAATTTGACTGACCCTCGTGTCACAGACGAAATCGAAGGTGCATATCACACGGCGTTTCCTCCGGTATCTCAGTAGCTGCTATTATCTCTCTGAGCGGCGTCATTTCTTTTCTGCTTCTTTCCGCTCTGGCTCAAATCACAAGACGATATTCCCTTAGAACCAGTGCAACCCTGGAGGTTTGAGAACTGGATATTGTTCTCTTCTCTCCCTTCAACTCATTTTGGTCAAAGTATACGTGCTGGCCTCGTTCCTCCCTACCATTCACAATGAGATACCATCACCTTCCAACATTTCCCGTCTTCTAATTAGTGATATTCTTCTAATCCTCGTGCTTGGTATATACACAGTTCTTTTCACTCAACGTGACCATGTCTAGGTATCTATGTGAAGAACTGGATTAGACTGCAACACAAAAATCAATCATCTCTATTTCTAGACGCAAAGCACACTCAAAAAAGCAATAGTAGGACAAGAAGCAAATCCATATACCGGCGGAGAACCACCACCAGCAGGCGCCCGCTTAGAGTTTGGACCTGATTCCCTCGAGTCTGAATTTGACATCCTTTAGAACTTTGCTCGAGGGCTTCCAGTCATCGTATTGCCTTAATAATTGCATTGTCTCTTCATAGAGTTCGCGGCGAACATACTCTTCTTCGAGTATACCCCGCATGGCAAACGGTAGAATATAGGGGTTCGAAGGAGACGGGAGACTCCGTCTGACGTCTAAGGTAGCGTTACTGACATTCGACGTTTCCAGAGCAAATTCAATCGCCAGCCTAAGGGATGAACGTTAGTCTTATGAGGGTCAATATTAAGGAAAAGCCAACGCACCGATAAACAGCCTCGTCGTCATAGAGACGAGAATGACCTTCTCCTGTATAAAGGCTCCCTGCCAGCGGAGAGCTCAATTCTCGGATGAGGCCATGGTCCGAGATCCCCAAATTACGAAGTTTGAGTACGAAACCGACCAGATGGGAAAGACTATAAAAAGGAACAGACGTTAGCAAGGTGGCGAAGATCAAGCAGCGAAATAAATTAACGTACAAGCTTGGTGCATGGACTCTGCCATCCACGAAAACCGCGCGGTAGATGTAGGGATGGACCACTGGTGAGAAGAGAGACGACTACGACAAGAGTTAGACTGCGACTGCGAAGCAATCCAGGAATAAGTGATCAGCGCCTTACCTCCAGAGATACCAGCTGGTCATCGATACTCCCAATGTAGGATATCCGAACGCCAAAGTCCAGAGCGCATTTCAATGCAGTTTCATAATCTTTCGAGACCTGGCTATAGGGCAGAGCAAATTCAAAAAGCTCCCCCGCCGAACCACTGATCCATCGAGATCTATAATCTGAGAATGGCCCCATATTGACGCCGGCCATAGCGCACACGCCAACACGAGTGGCATTCAAGCAGCCAAAAGCAATAAGTTTCGCAACTAACATGATCGCAACCGGAACACCTTGACTGTGACATGCAACTAGGATAAAATCGGCTTTCCTGATTTTCTCCACCCAATTGAGGAGCAGCTTCCATAGCAGATCGACGCGTTCAGCGATGCGGCCCTCACCTTCTAGAGCAATTTTCTCGACATCGCATGCATAGCCATGACTCTCTGTCCACTTGTGGATGGCCTCCGCCGCCATGGTGGCAAATCTTACGGAGGTACCTGTTGGTTGTCCAAGCACTGTCCGTATTAGTGGAGCGGGAAAATACCCATGCACACCAATGGCCAATGCATTCTTGATCCTTGGGGGATCTCTGATCATATAGACATGCTTATTATCAGGCTCTCTGCGATAGTGCAAGAATCGTCCAATTGTCTGCACGAGAGAGGGTGTTTCTTTCACAGCAAAAGTGTCCGAAAAGCGAGGTAGGACTTGATTCGGTAGTACTTTCTGCAATTGCTTCGTTGCTGCTGCCTCTGACACTCGTGGTGGGGGTGATTCAGGAGGAAGGTCCTGCACATGAGAGGGGATTCTGTCAGTGGCAGCAGCACTGCTCCTAGGAGTCTTGATTTTGATGTTGACTCTCTTGGTGTCTTCCGCTTTCTGTTCCAGCCCTGTTTCTTCCTGTAGACTGTCCTGAGGCTGGTTTGAAGATGATCCTTGCGCGGTTGAAGTCTCAACTGACGGAGGATCTGCTAGAGCCACTTGATTCGGATTGTGCGATGAATCTCTGAACCAGAACGACCATCCCGACTTAGTGTTCTTGGCCTGTGTATCAACTGGACCGTCCGTTCTCTGAGGTTCCGCAGGCGGCTGGTTTGAAGACAAAATTGCATGGTTTGGATCATGGACGGGCGCATTTACAGCAGAAGAAGGTTCGAGGGAATCGGGTTGGGAGTTATCCTTGTGTTCTTCGGGCTTGAGCGAATCCGCCCCCTGTGGCGGCGCAGACGAACCATACAACATTTGAAACCAGGTTCGCTTCTGCGATGACGTAGGAGCTTCTGTGGCCGGTTCAGAGGGCGTCTCTGCACTTCTCACAGGGTCGTTGGAGGGGCTTTCACAATTCTTCGGCGTCTGGTCTTCAGCGGACGGCTCTGTCGGGGTGCTTTCAGTCTCACGCGCTCGTTCTGACTGAGCACCAGTGGAAGATTCTTCGGCTGAGTTTGCTGTATAGAACCATGAGAACCAGCCACTAGCTGGCTTCGAGGATGATTGAGCCTGACCCGGTTCCACCGCTCCAGCACATGCGCCTGATGGGGAGGTGTCGGTTGTCTGTTCTAGTTGCTCTCCGTTCTTATCGTCAGTAGCCCCTGCAGCCTCCTCGCTTGATCCTTCCTTCTGGGCCAAATTCGGGGCTGGACCGGCAGTATCGAACTGGGAATCCAGTGTTGGAGTGGATGCGGAACCATCGGAAGCGATGTTAATCTTTGTTGTCGTAGCGTCGGCAGGAAGAGACCTGGTCGATGCGCCTTTTTTCTTGGTAAGCTGAAGTGAAGGATTTCTATGTTGTTTTGGGGTGTGAAGGAGGGATTCCGAGGAGGTAGTCATGCTCGATGCTACATTTTGAGCAACCGAAATGCTCTCGCGGGCAACCTCGGTAACAGGCGCCGCTTTAGATGCTTTAGACACCGCGGGCCAAAGTGCAGGGTACCAGTTCTAAGAACGAATAACATCAGCTTTACTGAACTCAAATATCCCAACTGTCTATTGAATGACAAGAAAATTGACTTACACCACTTCCTTGCTTCTGCGAGGTTGAGCGCTTTGCGCCTACTGGAGATGAGGTTACCTCGCTGCTCAATGAGGCAGATGATTGCGACTGCGGGCCGGACGGGCTGGGCTTTATTCTCTTACGAGATCCCGTTGGCGCCATGGAAGAAGGAAGTAGAACATTACCAAGGCAAATATCAAAGTGCAAGTCAATAAAGAGATGAGGTCATTTAGAATGATGATGAAGATGAGCCTTACAGGAGTGCCTGCTAATGATCCGCGTCCAACAGAGCCGCCACTGTCGGCCTGTTGCACTACAACCAAGCTATCGGGCAGAGACACTGATATCATGTCACATGTTATCTGTGAATCATTTCCACCGCCTTTTCGGAGTTGATACCTGAGGCATGAAACTGTGGCTGGTGCATCTCTTCACCGCCACAGGAGTTCGAGCGGGACCCGCCAAAGACCAGAAAAATTATTTCCGCCGGGGAGAAATTTATCGGAGGAGGATAACACGCTGGATAAGCCTCTCTGGTCATTCTCTTGACTTCTTTTGTTCGTTGTGATTTTTTTCTCCCCCCTGTAATCATCTAATACCGACTTTTTTGTCGTGCACTTCCCGGATCTTGTCGAGCCTGTCTCGACTACCCATTCACAGAAATGGCGATCCAAAAAAAGGTATGACAGGATTCCTCTCTACGTTGGAAGACTTCTTTGCGCTAACATCGACCAGCACGGTAAAGGTCGTTTGGACAAGTGGTATCGCCTTGCGAAAGAAAAGGGATACCGAGCAAGAGCTGCTTTCAAATTGATCCAGCTAAACAAGAAGTATGGTTTCTTGGAAAAGAGCAAAGTCCTTCTGGATCTTTGCGCGGCTCCCGGCGTACGTTTAGTCACTCCCTTTTTTCCCGCCGATTTCTTTGGCTTATGATAAATTAGTCGTGGTGTCAAGTAGCGGCAGAGTGTATGCCCACACAGAGCATCATTATCGGTGTCGATCTCGCCCCAATCAAGCCAATTCCTCGAGTCATTACCTTTCAAAGCGATATTACAACAGAAAAGTGTCGCGCGACGATCAGACAACATTTGAAGCACTGGAAGGCAGACACTGTTCTTCACGACGGAGCTCCAAATGTTGGTACAGCGTGGGTTCAGGACGCTTTCTCCCAGGCGGAGTTGGTCTTGCAGTCGATGAAGTTGGCCACGGAGTTCCTGGTTGAGGGTGGTACCTTTGTCACCAAGGTCTTCAGATCGAAGGACTACAATCCTCTGCTCTGGGTTTTCAAGCAGCTCTTCACGTCTGTGGAAGCGACAAAGCCTCCTTCTTCCCGAAATGTTTCCGCAGAAATCTTCGTCGTCTGCCGTGGATTCAAGGCTCCAAAACGCATTGACCCCAAATTCCTCGACCCCAAGCATGTTTTTGCAGAATTGACAGATGCTACGCCAAATAACGAAGCGCGTGTATTCAATCCGGAGAAGAAGAAGCGAAAGAGAGAAGGTTACGAAGAAGGTGATTACACACAGTTCAAGGAAATACCGGTCACGGAGTTCATCAACACCACTGATCCGATCGCGATTCTCGGTACTTATAATAAACTCAGCTTCGAACAATCTCCGGGAGGAGATCTTGCGTTGGCGACTCTGAACAGACTGGAAGAGACCACGGACGAGATTCGAACCTGCTGTGAGGATTTGAAGATTCTAGGCAAAAAAGAATTTCGGAACTTGCTCCGATGGCGCTTAAAGGTCCGTGAAAAGTTTGGGCTTGTAGTCAAAAAAGGGCAAGCCAAGACCGATGAACCTGAGGAGGTCGCAGAGGTAGCTCCCATGGATGAGGAGTTG